TGTGTGTGTGTGGTGTAATCCCAGCACAAGTTGCTATGTCTAACATAGCTGTTCGCTATCATCGCTTCCGCGATGGGCATGTCTGAGGTGAGGTCTGAGGTGTGTGTGTGTTCTCGTCTCCCCAAGCGCGTTTTGTTTGCCGAGGGACTCAACACAAGGCCCAGACATGGTCCCAAGAAACGTTGGAGAGACATCGCCGCTGCTGATCTGAGTGCTCGGTGCGTGACAGGTGACTGGTACGACTTGGCACAGGACAGACGAGACTGGCGCCTCATGTGCAATCGTCCCCGACCGGCTGTGCCAAAGCCTAGAGTGTTAATTTGCGGCTGTGGCAGGGACTTCCGTTGGCCCAACGATCTAACTCGCAACAGGAAATACTGCAACTCCTGATGCTATCATTGCATGGAGCAATGGGCATCCAAAGGTCCAAAGGTGTATGTGTGACCACCTGGCTTGAGAGTTGCCAAGATCGTCCCAGCTGGAGACGAGTTGCAAGTAGCACTCCACCGCCACAGCCCGCTCCTGATCCTCTTCTCTGTGTCTGTGGACGCCCGTTTCGTCGACAAGGAGACCTGAAACGACATGCCAAGTTCTGCGCTCGTGTTCTCACTTGAACTTTCCGACATTCGCTATCATTGCGTACGCAATGGGCAAGATCAAGGTCAAGGTCAAGGTGTGCTTGTGTGTGTGTGTGTGTGTGTGTGTGTGTGTGTGTGTGTGTGTGCGCACGCGTGTGTGCTTGTGTGTGGATCCTTACCAGGCCCGTCGCACCGACTTTGGAGGTGGGCGGCCCTGGAAGGGGGTCCGAGGGTACCCTTTTGGGGAATTTTTTCAAAAATTGAAGCCAATTGCAAGCATTTCCGGGCATTTGGTGCCATTTCAGTTTAACTACAACGAAAGACTTTTTGATTTTGCAACAAACCGAGAAGACGCTACGATTGGGGACATGGGTTCTTCATTATCCTCCCCCCGGGAAAATTTCAAAAATTGAAGCCAAATCGGCAAATTGAAGCAAATTTGCAAGCATTTCCAGGCATTTGGTGCCATTTCAGTGTGTTGTAGTGCAATGAAAGACTTTTTTCATTCTGCATTAAACCACGATCGGGGACAAGGATTCTTCTTTATTTGCCACGTTTGGGCTGAGCTGCGATCATCGCGCTTTGTTGCAGTGTGCTCCAAAAAAAAAAAAAACGCCGAAAAAGTGGGGCGGCCTCAACCACCCCAGCTGTGAGTATGGGTGTATAAAAGAGTACGCTGACTTGAGCACATCAAAGTCACTGAGGTACTGAGACAGAAGATAAACCGCATACCGTTTCTGGCGGAAAACGTTGTTTCCAACTTTGAATTAGACCTGAACAAGCCATTCTCGATATTAATTTTGTAAAATGAAATGTACCCTTGATCATCATGCACAAGAGCATGCCTCTACCCAAAGTAATTAATTGGTAGGCCTGGTTAGATTAGTCTAGAGGCTAGAATCCAGCGCTGCTGCATGCTGCAAGACTGGACTGGAACATCGGGATTTCACGTGGGATACCTGGCAGGAGATGAGAACATTATTGACGAAAAAGTTAGAAAAAGTTCGGAAAAACCCGTCAGTCTTCACGAATTGGGTGGGTCAAATGTTTTGGAATAGTTATGATCCAGCCATGGCCAGGCTGCGCCTTCCGGCTCCGCAAGATCCTTCCAGTATACATGTACATGCAGGCGATTCGCTCTGCATGTGATCATGTTCTGCGGTTCATTGCTACATTGCAGCACGTCTTACCAGCACTGTTTGCATGCGCCTGCAGGCAAATGGACACAGCCGCCAGGACGAGGACGAAAGTGACACTGCAATGTATCTGCACCATTCTTTATCACAGTCTTTGTCTTGTTCGCTGCGCACACCTGTCTTCACACTTTTGGTCTTGACTTTCTGCGGCACAGCGCTCCAGGCAAACGGTGTTTGATGCCAGGGGAGTAGAATGATGGAGCACCTCCACCGGGCCTATGTTACAAAGTCTTACTGCTAAGTGCTATCTCATGGCGAGAGTACTTGCGCTGACACGGGAAGCCTTCGCTAGACCACTGCCCTACCAAACGGTTTTCTGTTGCACAACACTGTCACACATGATGCAACACGACACGCAGTCCATGTCATTTGCGCTATGGCTTTCACCTTTCGGTGGGAACTCCGGATCAGCCTCAGTGTGTATGGGCTATTTTCTACAGTCTTTAGATCTACCACAAACCGATAGCTTCTTACCGGTATAAACGTCGATACCCTTCGACGTACAGCTAGTCTTGGCCGTTGTTGCCACCAGTTATGCAGATACCCGACTTTGGGTACGAATGTGCCATGGTCTTCCCAGAGCCAGACCATGCTGGATGCGGACGACGCCTCGCTCGGACAGCTGCTCCCAAGCTGGGCCGCCAGAAGGTGATTTTCTTTTCCGACAGTCGCGACAAAGAATGCTCGTTTGTTGTTGTTGACATTTGGACTGTGTGATCGTGAGAAGCAGCTGGCTGACGTGCTACCGGTCAGATCCGGCAGTCAGCTATCCGTGTATTATCCTCTCACTGAATCACTGAGTCACAGGCGGCGTTCTCCACCACACAGCTGCTCTGGTCTAAACTAACGACACCCCGGCCCCTTCTGTTCCGTTATAACGTCGCTTTACACTTGGTGCATAACGAACTCGAATCAAGCTCAGTCAAGGACTACTCAAACACTAGCCCTTTCCCAAAGATGCCATAATTTATGCTTTTCGCAACTAACTTACTCATGCTTTTCGCAGCCGTGCCAAAACAAGTGCGAGCTGCTAAAATCGCATCCATATTTTCAGGAAAGGCTCAAAAGTTGATAACTAGAGAGGTTCTGCACAACGAAAATTCGAACGAAGTTTCGCGACAGGCCTTGCGAAAATGTGTACGAATTTTCGCACGAACTTTGTGTTCTGCACATTTTCGTAGTTTGCACGCGCCAAGTGCACGTACGACATGACCCAATCTCACGAAACTTCCTACGAAAGTTCATCAGGCGAAGCGCCAGCACCGAAAAAGAGCCCTAAAAGTTGCACTTTTATTTTCCAAATCCGACCCCAGGCCCGGGAAATTTGAAACTCAGCTCAATATCGCCAAAAAGAGACTATTTTATCCCTTGCTCACAAGAGCTTCCCTGGTGGTATCGTCTTGTTCCGAGGCAATGTTTGGGAAGGTGCGGGCATTAGCTGCCCTAAGTTTCGCGGAAAGCTCCAAGCGACATCAATTTCCTCGCTTTCTCGCCAGAGTTTTCAAGACCGACGCAACTCGTCGTCAAAAAGTACTCAGCGTGGATTTCGTGCCGAATTCCGCCCCAAACAATTTAGGCTGACCTCTCGCCACCAATCGAACCCACTGATATGTATCTACCTATACACGAGCAATGGTTTGAGCCCAAAGAAGGACAACTTCACAACGAGCACACTTTCTGAGGGTAATATTTACTATGTGTATCAGTATTAGAACACCATCAAGACGACAAATTGACCAGCAGAAAGACAGAAAGTTGCACTACAAATACATGCATACAGCAGCTGTATAAACATAAATAATTGAACAGAAAACTATGTAACTGGATCCCACCAAAAACAGTAAAGCATCCCAAATAGTATGCGCATACACATATACATGAAGGAAGGCTATGTTGCCACCATACACTGGCTACGCACACGGACATCATTCTGGAGAGCTGAGCATCAGCGTGCGCACACACCCACACACACATCTGCAGCTGCTGATCTGCATGCACGAGCGCACACCCACATGCGCATGCACACGCGCGCGCGCGCACACACACCCACATATACACATGCACGCGCGCACACTCCTGCCCTGTGCTGTCGAGCCACTGCCACAAGGGTTGCGTGGGCCTCGAAGGCACCGGAGAGAGAATAGTAGAACGCAGTCCCATAGATACACACGCACACACACACACACACATGTACACAACACGTGCAAGTACACACGTGGCAGCTTACTACAAGAGAACCACACAAGTTCACATGTGGGCGCGAACTGTATTCACAGTTGGTCATACTGTCTTGGGCATATGAGGGAGGAGCAGGAGAGTGAGTGATTGACTCAGACACAATGCGCTTCGACATGCTAGCACATGCACCGGCTTCAGACAGTGGCAGAACGTGACGGAGAGAGAGAGAGAGAGAGAGAGAGAGAGAGAGATAGAGAGAGAGAGAGAGAGAGAGAGAGAGAGAGAGAGAGAGAGAGAGAGAGAGAGAGAGAGAGAGAGCACCAGCGTTCCAGCTCAAGCTCCAAATTTCTAGTTGCTTCTCCTGGTCACAGTAAACACAGAACAGGGCTCAGGCAGTGCCGAGGAAGTGCTTGTACTTGGTGCAGTGTCGTGAGCAGGATAAACTTCCAACATCTCTACACAGTGTAGCTCTTCAGGCGCACACGAAGACTCAGAAACCGGAATATACTTTACATGATGATTGAAAGTCCAGCAGCACAACAAAACTTCCAAGGACTGGTTTGGCACTAGCTTCCGTCTCATTGGCGTGCGCCCAGCCAGTTTTGGAAAGAAAGAGTAGACGTTCATTCCTCGTTCAACCTGCAATGAACTGGAGACAACACAAACCAACAAGACGACCATGGTTATCATCAGCTCATGTGTTCACCAACGCAGTGCTACCATTCACTTTCCTGCTCCAAATGCACTACCAGGCTGCATGGTACTACTGTCGTGGACATGGAAATCCGGTCGCACGTATAGCGGCCCCAGGGCGCTGGCCATGTAGCCGTAGCACGGTTTATCATGCGCTGCTGATGGTCGCATTGGATCAACATGTGCACTGCATGCAACGTTCTGTACGTGCTGAGGGTGCCGGCCCCGGTCAATCGACTGGATTTCCATGTCCGCGACAGTACGATGTGTCGATAATAGACCGTGATTTGCATTTTCCAATGATTAGGACTGGTATTATTTCTATTTTTCACACTTAGAAAGAAAACAAGGGGCAAGATTTGATATGGATTATGTGGTTGTTGGCTATGTCAACATTTGAAAGAGGGTTGCAACCGTGATAGCACTGCAACATGAGTTTAAACCTACGTATTGCATGGTATACTCAACAGTTGGCGAGCAGAGAATTTCGTGCCGAATTCCGCCCCAAGGTTGTGCACAGCAAACAACTTGATATATCATTAGCCCTACCCTTGTGCTATACGTACCCGTTGTGCCGATCGAGCCTGAGCCCTCTACTCGACTCCACGGTCCAATGACATTCGGTCATCATGGCCAAATTCAAGTCACTCAAGTGTTGAGAAGTGTCTACGTCGTCGCACACAGCATGTGTCGACATACAAAAATATGTGTACGATAGAGAAAGAACTACTGAAGAGCAACCAACTGGTTTCAGCATTCTCCTTCAAAGGATAGGTCGGTGGCAGAGGGCCAAAGCCGGACAATAGTTGGAAATTCTCAGCGTTGAATTTCTACAGGCTGTAGATACCTGGAAAAGCTCGATTTCCCGCCACGGAAAATAAAAAAGTCTTGATTTGGGGTGCTGGCGCTTCGCCTGTCATTTCGCGTTCCCTGCAAGTTTCGCGTCCAAAGTTGCGAAAGTTCGTGCGAAGTTTCTCACTTCGTGACGTAGAGCGAAAGTTCGTACACATTTTCGTTTTGCAGAACCTCTCTAACATCGCAACAAAAATGAGAGAGTTCTTTTGCATCGAAAAGTAGCAGAAATAGCTGAACTGCGGCGACAGCGAACCCTATACAGTACGGTATACCCCTTCCTTCCTGCTGTGAACCACAACAGTTACTAATAGAAATACTTACATTGTACATGTACATATGTATGTATTTACACACCGCAACTTCCAAGTAGACGGTATGCATCTTCCATCATTTCAGTACACTCAAAAGGGAATGCACATGACGTATCTATCCATTTCTGGCGACCTAGCTAGAACCTGCTGCCAGTGTCCCTCTTCACTCGTTCTTTCTATGAAAGGGGAAGGCAGCACTCGCAGAAGATTTTCCAAGAATGCAATGTCGACTGGTGCTCGTACCATAAGAAGGGAGAAATCAAAGTCCGCTCTTGAATCATGCCTGAGAATTAGAAAATTATTTCAGAACACGCTTGTGTAGATTTCCTCCCAGTGCCACTGACATCTCGCGACCTTCAAATATTATAACTTGCTCGATCATCTCCCGCACTGACTAGCAAATTCGTCAGGTAGCTGTGGATGGATCGATTCAGGGAGATCGAAGGTAATTACATCGAAGCACTTCAAACACGTTTCAAGACGCACTTCAAATTTTGTAATTGTGTCTTGAAAATTGTTTAGAACAATTCGTACTTCAATACGCTGTTGAGTTGTATCCTCTGCTTGGGAGTCTCGACTGTTTTATTGCTGCATGGCTTTCCTCAACACCGTTCACTGTACATGTATCGCGGAACGCAGATTGGATGGCATTGGAGGTGAATTTGATAATTTGTGACTGTGTCATCAACCAAGTGAGGACATCAAATATCAACAGGGACGCTCCGAAAATCACAAACGCTGCGAAATAGATATGAAATGGTCTTACACACTGGAGGGTATTCCACATTCATTGTGTCATATCTTTAGACTGTCCGAAAGTTTGTCGTGCCGTGCAACTTTCACAGACTAATCCGATAATTGGCATGTGGCCCTACTGGCACACCCTCATGCATATGCTGTTGAGTTTATCTATATGTGCACGCACATGTGTGTATAATACATATACAATTTTATTACGTATGCAAAATTAGGCAATCTATATTATGTGTGTGCACTCACTCCTATGACATAGAACGACAGTGCAGGCTATGTAAAGTCGCATCAATGTGTGTCACCCGGGTGTGTTCATGCATGCGCGCTCGCGCGGGCGTTTTGTGTGCGCGCCTGGCATGGCATAACGCCGTTCAGTATGACTAGTGTTGAACCGTGGTAATTTGCCCCCACCCCCTCTTTTTTCTGCTGGCGTTGGATATGCAACTAATGACATAAACTCGGTTGTTGAAAACGAGTGCCATGCACCACAATGGATTGACAATAATAATTATAATACAAGTAGCACTGTAAAAGCGCTGGTAATACTTATGTTGCAGCCATGGCAGTTGTGAGTAGCTTTCCAAGTCAAGCCTGCTGCAGAAATTATTGCTCTCTGACCAGCTGGAGTGGCCCAGGACTGCCGGTTGTGGAGAACAGGAGTGATGCTTGTATATACGCTTGTATTTACATGATGTACACAGTGTGCTTCGAAGTAACGTTAGGTGTATTACTGGTGTGTTCTTCTGCCTGTGCGCGTGTACATGTGCTGGTCAGTGTGGAACCGCCATCCATATCAGATCATACAGCTGCTATCAGTCTGAACAGCTTGTATCTGGCAAATAGGGTTTTAATGACTCGATTTTGCTAACTGTGTTCAACAGAGTGGCATTGCACA